TGATAGGGAGGCCCATTGTCTTCTATATTAGGCCTGACAAGCTGCAGGCTCATGGCCGATGGGGGTTCGCCCGGCCCATTGAAAAAAAGCCTGGTGCGGCCCGTTATGGGCTTTGAGATGGCCCAGCCCCAGGGCCGGCCTTGACTTTTGGGTGGCCCTAGGCCATAAACTAAATGAGGCCCCTTTTTTAGTATACAATTGCGAAAAAATAACAAATAAAATGATTTTACTTCGCGCGCTATGAGCAAATAAAAAAGGTTGTATGCATTATAGTAGGACATATCTCCATAAAAAAAAAAATTCAAATTAGATATTTAATATCATGAAGGAAATTACAAATTTACAAACTGACGTTCTAGCAACCAATAACCCAAGGAAAGAGTTTGTTGTTTGCTTCTATAATGGGTCTTTATGTGTTTTGTTCCTATTGGAAATTGAAAAATAGTTTGCTAGATAGGAACAAATATAAAGAAAAATTCATAAATCTGATTACCTTTATAATTCTCATGCTTCTCTCCTCTTGGTCACCATCAATCTCAAAGACAAAGATCAAAAAGAAAAATTTGTGAGCTTTTCATTGAGAGATCGATTCTTAGGGTTACAATATGAGAAAAGAGGAATGAGAGAAACTGAAAATAATGGATGGATTGAAGAGAGATTGGGAAAACAGAGAATAACATGGTGGTGGATTATATAGATAGTATGTTCTTCCATGGAGAAACTAGGAGTAGGCTCTCCGTGGGAAAAGAGGAATCCTATTGGGGTTTCCTCATTTAATTTTATCGTGTGTTTTTTTTTAATAAGTTGGACCCCAAAAATTTATTCCAAATTCGTCAAACGTCCCCCAGATATTTTATATATTTTATATTTGATGAGGGTATACATATATAATATAAACAATGTTGGGGCCCCCCTTAATTGGGGGCCCATGGCAATGACCCTTCCTGCCTACCCCCAAGGCCGGCCCTGCTCGGCTCGCCTTGGGTTAGGCTAGGCTTTGGTTTGGGTGTCCGAAGCCCGGCCCGGCCCGATTAAGCCCAAGAAAGCCCGGTCAGGCCCGCCCACAAAAGCCCAGCTCGTTAGGGCCGCATACATATATAATTATGTATAAATAAGAGTTTATGATTAGGATTATATCACTTAAATCACATATAATTTGTTTCATTTCATTTACTTTTCTTTACTCATTCCTAGTTTATAATTGGATGATTAGCACATTAATTTGTGTCAATTATTAATACAACAATTATATATATAAAAATAAGATGAACAATATATCATATCACCAAATATAATCATATCACGAAACATAATCGTACCACCAAATATAATAATGCTTTTCTTGAACACATCACCAAACATTTGCATATTTATTCATACAATCCTTAAAAAAAAAATAAAATTTTTGATACTTATTATTTTTAAAAAATGATTTCTTAAAACGTATTACGGTCTAATTATGTAATAACCTCAAAAATAATACTTGGTTTTATTATTTTTGTGGAAAATCTTATTAAGTTGTGTGACTTTATTGGGTGTTTTATGAATTTGGTTTGATGTGAAAATATTGGAATTAAGTGAGTTTAATCTCAAATTTGGACTAAAATGCCCTTATGATTAAGTTTATGATTTTTTTCGAATGAAGTAGGCTCGTTTCGGCCCGGCCCGGCCCGATGGGCTTTCTCAAGGCCGGCTCATGAGTTGGGCTTGGGCTTTGATTTTTCTAAAAAAACCTGGCTCGGTCCGTCCCGACATATCCTCTCTCCTCTTTAAAGTTTGGCCTGGCCCAAGCCCGGCTCGGCCCATTGACGAGCCCTACATTGATACTAACTTCAAAATAGGAGTAAGTCATTTATTTTTTCTTCTAGGTGGCTAAAAGAAGAGAGGGACTTTTGAACTACATGTTGTTTCTATGATTCACTCCCACCTTGCCAAACACGTTTATTAATCTTGCTTCACCAATAGTGGATGTACCCTATCATATTTTCTTCCTGGCAACCATAATTGGTCTGATGCCAGCTGGTTATGTCACTATCAGGGTATGTGTCTTTCACTTCTATGAAAATTTTGGGTTAAATTATGAAGTTCAATTTTGGTCTCAGAACATCACAAGGAATTATCATAACTATACTCAAATCTTAAAGGATTCTATGCTCACATGACCCAAAATAAAAATCACTATGCAAAAATAGATATGATTGTTATTTTTTGAATAGAGGAAGATCATTAAACCTTGGTCTCAGTCATCTCAATCCACACTATTCACTCATGCAGAAAAAGATAAAATGTCTTTAGCAAAATTGTTAGTTTTCTAATTTCGGAAGAGAAAGTATCAATTTTGGAGAATGGTTTTTATTTTGGTTAATTTCACGAAGTGGTTGGAGCTCAAACCACCTGCCACCAACATGTTAAGGTGCTGAGATAGAGTTGGGCCTAATCTATGAAGGACGATTATATTGGTGATTTATTTGAGTTCTTTGGCGTTCATAATGTACTCAAGTGTCACTGGTTATGCCTATGTCACTATGACTCTGTTTTTTTCTGTTTGGGCCCAATTTGGCACGCCCAATCCAAAATCAAAAGCCCATATCAATTTTTGACAACCACCAACATTCTCCTTATGATTGAGCCAGACACTCTGCACAACAGTCCATTTTTATGAAAACCCACAAAGCAGAAAACAAAAATAGGCCTTGACTCCAAAAGAAAAGCCCAAGTCCGCATCAGAGGCCCTGAATGAGCAGAGGAGAAGAGAAAGAAGTCGATTGAAGACATGAAAAGAGAGGGAACTGAGAGATTGTTGAAGGGAGAGAGCATTTAATGAAGAAACCCGCTCTTTCACCTTCAAAAACCCCCTCAACAAACCCTAACATTGACTGCAGAGAGAGAACGAGAGAGTGTTGCTTAGGTTTTCGTGATAGAGGGAGAAAGAGAGTGGTGGTGATTGATGAGAGAAATCGCAGAGAAAGGAAGAGAGAACCATGAGAGAGAGCTGAGACAAAGAGAGAAGTCAGAAGTGTTAGGTCGACAATCAATGACCAATAACTCCACAATAGATATGTTTTTATATGGAGGGTACTTAGGTAATTTCACATCCCCAAGTGATTATATCTGAATAAGATTTGTAACGTGATCATTTCAGAATAGAAGTTGTGAAACGTGATTATATTAGTATATTTCCCTTAAATTTTTTTGGGGTAAAAAGAAATAAATATAGGTCATAAAATAAATAAAGACATTTTGTTGGGTCGGAAACTAAATACACAACTATTCCGGCCAGAAAGTAAATAATAAAACTTTAAACGCGTTATAAATTGACGAAGTAGCGTGACGAAAACAAAACACTCCGCTCTCTACTGCTGTGTTCTCAGTTCGCGCATCGTCTGTTCCTGCCTTTCAATCTCGTTCTCCATTTTAGGTATTTCTCTCTCGATTCAAATTTTCGATTTCTCTGGTTCTTGTTTCTAGGGTTTGATTCATTTCTTTATTTATCTCTCTCTATTTTTCTTTTTTCTTTTTTTATAATTTCGTTCACGTCTTTGTTTTTCGTCAATTCAAATTTTGTTATCTCTTACGGGTTCGTGGGTAGGTGACTGAATTTGAATATTGAATATAATTTAAGGAGATTATTCGCATACGTTGATTCTGTGTTTCAATTTGGGTTCTTTCTTTTTGCGATCTAGGGTTTGTGGAATTTGTTTTTTTTGGGTTTTGAATTTTATTGCTTTACGATTATTGGTATGATTTTTTTCGAGAATTATGCTCATTTTACGATCTGGTTTTGAATTTTTTTTTCCTATCTGGTTATTTTGAGGATTCGTATGTGGGATTACTTCTTTTAAATTCAATGTGTCTTGCTGTTGAATATTTTATATCGATTATCAATTAGGTTTTTTGACAATTCAAATATCAATTTTATGCGATGTTGTTTTGTCTTGAATTTTTTATATAAAAAAGAGTTTACTGCTTCCTGTGTTTCATTGCTTAGTCCGTAGTTATTTTGCCTTTGGTTTTCTGCTGCTTAACGAAGTTTATGTGTAATAATGTTGGAAACAGGGTCTCCATTTTGCACCCGATGTCTTTTGATCACAACAAGGAACATTCGTCAATTATCATAGCATTTTGTTTTATGAACCGAGGCAGACTGTGGTTGCGGAGGATATTGTTTCGGGACTGGACTTGAAACTCCTTTTCTTTGGAGGAAAGGTTCTTGATTCATTCACTTCTTGTGAGGAATTTCTAGTTTGAGATTTAAGGGTTCTTATTAGATAGGGGGACTCTCATGGGGAAATCATCCTTGGCTCCTGGGTTTCGGTTCAAGCCAACTGATGTTGAGCTTGTGCAATACTACTTGAAGAGAAAGTTACTGGGGAAAAGGCTCGGTTTTAAAGTCATTGCAGAGGTTGACATTTACAAGTATGATCCTTGGGATCTTCCAGGTATAGGTCACTTCACATTCTCGCCTTTGAATTCTTTATCTATCATCTGGTTCATTCTTGGTATTATTTAGTTTCGTACTGTGTTTTGTTTTTCCTTTCCAGACAAATCTTGCTGGGAAAGTGGAGATCTGAAATGGTATTTCTTTTGTCCGAGAGAAAAGAAGTATCGTAATGGGAATAGAATTCAACGTGCCACTGAAGGTGGTTACTGGAAGACCACGGGAAAGGATAGATCCGTTGTTTACAGTGGTGAAGTTGTTGGGTGGATAAGAACTTTAATTTTTCACACTGGTCGAGCCCCACGAGGAGAACGAACAAATTGGGTTATGCATGAGTATAGGCTTGAAGATCAGGGCCTGTCTGATAGGGGTGTGCCTCTGGTAAGTGCTACTCTTCCTCCTTTAATTATTTTTATTTATTCCTTTTATTCAATGGAATTTTTTCATGCTGCTGAATTGGACTGATAATGTTATTTTTCCTTACTTCATACAATTTGTTTTACTGCTTTTCATGGCTTGTGGGTTTTTGTTGGATAAGTTTTGTGGCTTTTTGGTGTTGCAGGACTCATATGTGATCTGTATGATTTTCCAAAAAGATGGGTTGGGGCCGAAAATTGGTGCACAATATGGTGCACCCTTTAAAGAGGAAGACTGGACTGATGATGAAGCTGTAATTTGTTCAGAAGCAATCCCACATGAAAATATGTCTGAGCCAAACCTTGTAGTGCCGAGCAACTGTAATAGTTCCATCACTACTAGCAGACATTCCCCGAAGGGTATACACACAAGTCCTTATGAATCGTGCATATCAGATGTTTTACCACCTTCTTGCAATGTTCACCAATTGGTTTCCAGTAATCATGTTACAATGGAGAAGCTTCGTGGTTCCAATGATGATCTCCTGTCAATGTTGAATTGTTTCACTGAAGGAAGCACTTCCTTAATGAAAGAAAATGACAAAAATGAGGTGTGTAATGCGCCCTTCTCTTTTTTCTACATGTAGTATATATCATTCCTGATCTATAGCAAGCGGAAATGCAAAACATGATATAATTTATGCAATCAGGATAGGTTTATGTTGTGACACTCTGCTTGTGCCATAGATTTCCAATTTCAGATGTGCTAATGTGGCACAATATAGTTGGGTATATTTTACTTTTGTCATTGATGTCATCCAGGTTGTTGAAAGAGACAAATTAGCCTTGTTGTTTTTTTCTTTTTCTGATGAGGGTCTTGTGTGCTCTGCAAATTCCGTGCATCTGTAGTTTGCGTTATTTCCTTCATCTCTCTCTCTCTCTCTCTCTCTCTCCTCTCTCTCTCTCTCAGCAACCTAATTGGTTCCTTTTTCCTTTTTCATACTGCTTTATTTTGGAGAGGTTTGGTGTTTCTCTGACTGTTTTTCTGTTTTTCTGCTTTTACTTTTCCATGGATGGAGGGCAAATTTTCCTATTCTTTATTCATGGAGAAATGATATATTATTGTAGTGCAGATGTTTTTTCTTGAAGCTAGAGTTTTAAACTAGATGGCGTAACTAGAAAAGTTGATGGCTTTGAATTTCAATTTTGAAAATTTCATTATATCTGTTAAAAGAAAAAAAAAGATTCCATAAGTACATTAGTACAAATTAATTATCTTGCTAATGTTCTTTAAACTTCTAATGTATGCTAATGTAAAACTTCTTCACGGTTTGCAGGAGCTTGGTAATGTCATTGCTTCTGGAAATGCTAGTGCTACACCCAATTTCAATAGTGATGATATTTATGAAGATTTAGGAGACTTGGGGAAGATGGCTAGAGTGAGTGAAGATGGATATAATTTCTCCAATGTGCATAATTCAATCTGTGCTCCGGCTCAAATGCAGCTAGGTGACAATGAGCAATTCTTGGAGCTGGATGATCTATCTTGGTAAACCGTTGAATTGCCATGATTCGACATACACTCAGCCACCTACTTTCATGGGAGAGACGCCTTTTCCGGTTGAAGACGAGTTGAATGTGTTTGATAACTTAACTTCTGAAATTATTTTTGCTCTCTAGTCCTTCTGATCAAATTTGTTAACGGGTTTGCTAACTTTCAGAAGTTCACCTTATCAGACACAACTTTGAGTTGCCTCTGCACATTCATTTTCATTGTTGGGACAGAACGTTACTGAAAATTGTGTTTACCGTATTGTATTAAAAATTATCAGGTTTACCTGGGATTACCGTATTGTTTTACTACAATCTTTTACGAGGGTTTACGCTTAAACCAGCTTGTGGACTTTCGTAGTGTTTTTCCTTTGGGTCAGTAACGTTGAGGTTATAATCGTGAGGTTGTGTGACTTGGCTTATGTTTTTTTGTTCACGTGTACTTGTGTTATTGTTGCTTTTGCTTTGAGAAATTCTTTGTTGTCTTTTGCCTCAATCATATTATCTTAGTATTTGAACATTTTTTATTTATATTTAAAAACTATTTTAGCGAGGTGTTATTTATTTATTTGCTTCAATATTTTGTTGAATTTAACATAATGAATTGAACTTTTTTAATGTTTTTTTATTTTGTTTTTAAAATGTTTAATTATCAAGTTCTGAGCGTTTTTCTTTAATTTTAATCTTTAAAGATTTGATTTTACCTTAAATAAATAAATAAATAAATATATATATATATATATATATATATTGTATGTGTTACGGCACACAAATATTCAAAGAGGATCAAATCAAACCTGTTCGAAGTGAGTCGCGCATTCCCTGTCCGTAGTAGAGTTTGGCCTAAACATTGACTCTAGACGACATGCGGAAGTGAGGATTTTTGAAAAATTAATTAGCATAAATAAATAAATAAATAGCCGATGAGATCGCACCTTTTGATGATATTCGCATCATGTGGAGCAAAACTCTAATTTTCAACTTTGGAAGATCGCACCTTACTCATGCAATCTATTCATTTCACTTTCCGATGAGATCGCACTTACAAGCTTTAGCCTTACGAAGAGTGACAATGGACTTTTAAAAGACGAATGAGAACATACAATTTTTTAAAAAGAGTGTGAGTAAATAAAAGAGGAATGAAAAAATCAGTTTCATACGTTAATCTAAACAGTTTGGGTTTTTGCAATCAAACTTTCCATATAGCCTCTTCTGGTCAAAATTTCAACAACCAGCAATCAGCAGCAGTACATTTTTTGGGGGTCAAATGTGAGGTTGTTGATGAACTTTAACCAGCAATCAACAGTGCATTAGCAATGGAACTTTAACATAATATCATGAATTTTTATTTATTTATTTTTTAATGGGGGTAATGGAGGTTTCTAATGAACTTTAACAAACGGAGATTTACATTCTCTCTTAATTGTTATTTACTTAAAATCCAATTCCATTCAATGCAAATCTAAATTCAAATTGGATCAATTTGAAACATTTTCTTTTAATTTGTATGTTTTTTTTTTGGGTTTTGACAGAAACGGTCCCCTAACTTTTGCTCTAATATCATTTTGGTTCCAACTAAAATTTTCATTTCAATCGTCTTCCAACTCTTCATTTGGTATCAAAATGGTCCTACCATTCAATTTTCAGTTAAATTGAATCACGTGGATGACACATGCTCCAATTTTAGAGATAAATTGGAATTTTTAATCACACATAAGTATTATAAATTTAAAACAAAAGTAAAAAAACCATAAATTTTAAAAAGTAATAACACACAAACCCCCCCTCCCCCTCTCACGACACCATTCCCCCCATCTCAGCTCTCTACTCTCCCTCTCCCCTTCCACACAAAAATCTGGGTTTGATTGTTCATCGGTTACTTTTTTTAAATTTTTCATAATTTTATTTTTGTATTTATCTGATTGAACTTTTTAAATTAATTTAAACAATGGAGATTTTTTTTTGATTAATTTTTAAGTCATCTCAGCAAAAAAAAAAAAAAAAAAAAAAAACCTTGTGGTGAGATTCAATTTTCTTTTATTTTCTTTAAAGTTTTATAATAATTTCCTTTAATTTTTAATTATTTATTAATATTTTAATTTTTATGGATAATTTCCCTTCAATTTAAGGGCAATATTAACGGTCTTTAACGGTGAGATTGTTTTGATACCAAATAAAGAGTTAGAGGATTATTGAAAAGAAAATTTTAATTAACGGACCAAAATAATATTGAGGCAAAAGTTGAAGGACCATTTCGATCGAAAACCCTTTTTTTCTGCTTGAAATAAAAGAATTAAAACAATTCAACCCAGCCAATATATAAACCACAAAACGGAGGTTCAACAATCCTCGCTCTACAAAACTGTTAATTAGTTCAATTTATCTACTCACAAACAACAACCATTTAACTTCTAATTTTCTAAACTGAAGTAGTAAGGGTTTATGGCCAGGCCCGGCCCGGCCCATATTTAGACTGGCCCAAACAAATAAGAAACTCCTTTTTAAATTTATTTGGGGTTAAAAAAAGAAGAAGCAAATTTGGGCCATAAAATGAATAAAGACATTTCTTTGGGTCCAAAACTAAATAAACAATTATTCGGACAATAAAGTAAATAATAAAGATTTGACCGCGTTATAAATTGACCAAGTAGCGTAACGAAAACAACACACTCCGCACTCTACTGCAGTGTTCTCAGTTCGCTCGTCGTCTGTTCCTGTTTTTCAATCTCGTTCTCCATTTTAGGTATTTCTCGCTCTTTCGATTCAAATTTTCAATTTCTCTGGTTCTTGTTTCTAGGGTTTGATTCATTTTCTTTATTGATCTCTCTCTCGCTCTCTCTCTTCTTTCATTCACGTCTTTGTTTTTGGTCAATGTAGTTCTTTTTCGTCAATTCAAATGTTGTTCTCTTACGGGTTCGTGGGTAGGTGACGGAATTTGAATATTGAATATAATTAAGGAGATTATTCGCATACGTTGATTCTGTGTTTCAATTTGGGTTATTTATTTTTGCGATCTAGGGTTTGAGTGTTTTTATGTGGGTTTTGAATTTTATTGATTTCTGGGTTATATGATTTTGGTATGATTTGTTTCGAGAATTCTGCTCCTTTTACGAGCTTATCGTTCTTTCTTTTTGCTTGCAACGGTTTGTGGGTTTTTATTAGGGTTTCCAATTTTATTGCTTTCTGGTTTAGATGATCATTCCTGTGTTTCATTGCTTAGTTCTTAGCTATTTTGCGTTTGGTGTTCTGTTGATTAACGAAGTTTTTGTGTATAATGTTGGAAACAGGGCCTTCATTTTGCACCCGATGTCTTTTGATCACAACAAGGAACATTCATCAATTATTAGAGCATTTTGTTTTATGAACCGAGGCAGACTCTGGTTGCGGAGGATATTGTTTCGGGACTGGACTTGACTCTCCTTTTCTTTGGAGGAGGGGGTCTTGATTCCTTCACTTCTTGTGAGGAATTTCTAGTTTGAGATTTAAGGGTTCTAAGAAGTGAAGGAATTTCTAGGTTTTTTCTAGTTTGAGATTTAAGGGTTCTTATTAGATAGGGGGACTCTCATGGGGAAATCATCCTTGGCTCCTGGGTTTCGGTTCAAGCCAACTGATGTTGAGCTTGTGCAATACTACTTGAAGAGAAAGTTACTGGGGAAAAGGCTCAGTTTTAAAGTCATTGCAGAGGTTGACATTTACAAGTATGATCCTTGGGATCTTCCAGGTATAGGTCACTTCACTTTCTCGCCTTTGAATTCCTTATCTATCATCTAGTTCAGACTTTATATTATTTAGTTTCTTACTGTGTTTTGTTTTTCCTTTCCAGACAAATCTTGCTGGGATTGTGGAGATCTGAAATGGTATTTCTTTTGTCCGAGAGAAAAGAAATATCGTAGTGGGAATAGAATTCAACGTGCCACTGAAGGTGGTTACTGGAAGACCACGGGAAAGGATAGATCCGTTCTTTACAGTGGTGCAATTGTTGGGTGGATAAAAACTTTAATTTTTCATACGGGTCGAGCCCCATCAGGAGATCGAACAAATTGGGTTATGCATGAGTATAGGCTTGAAGATCAGGGCCTGGCTGATAGGGGTGTGCCTCTGGTAAGTGCTACTCTTCCTCCTTTAATTATTTTTATTTCTTCCTTTTTATTCAATGGAATTTTTGTGGAATGTAAAAAAAATTAAATTTCTTCTGCTGCAACTGATTAAAATTTTTTCATGCATCCAAATTGGATTTATCATGTTGCTATTTCCATTCCCTTATTCTTTGTTATATTGCTGCTGATGGTTGGTCAGTTGATATTGATCTTAGTTGGCTCTTTTGATGTTGCAGGACTCATATGTACTCTGCATGATTTTCCAAAAAGAAGGGCTAGGGCCAAGAATTGGTGCACAATATGGTGCACCCTTTAAAGAGGAAGACTGGAGTGATGATGAGGTTGAAATTACTTCAGAAGCAGTCCAAGTTGCAATCACGCCTGAGCCAGATCTTGGGCTGCCTTGCAATTATGTCAGCCCAACTGCTACTAATGCACATTCTGTTGGGGATATTGGCGTAGGTCCATCTGGATCAGGCATTTATGATATTTTACCACCTTTTTGCGAGGTTTCCCAGCCGGTTTCCAGTAATTACGTTATACTGGAGATGCCTCTTGCTTCTGTTGGTGATGATATAATTTCAATGTTTGATTGCTTTACCGAAGAAAGTGCTCTCTATACAGATGAACCTAAAAAAGTTGAGGCGGAAGGTCGTTTAGAAACAGTCCAAAATGCAAACATGCCTAGTACACATTCCCCTGAAGTTATAGGCGTAGGTCCTTCATTCGAATCATGCGGATTTGATGTCTTACCACCTTGCAATGTTAACGAATCGGTTTCCTGTAATTTTGTTACAATGGAGAACCCTCCTGCTTCTAATGGTGTTGAGACCCTGCCAATTATGGATTGCTTTGCAGAAGAAAGCATGTTTCTTGTGAATGATAATGGCAAAAATGAGGTGTGTAATGCGCTCTTCCCTTTTCCTTACATGTAGTATTGGCATGTAACATTCTTGATTTTAGTGGCAAGTGGAAATGCAAATTAGGATTTAATATTTGGATTCAAATTTTTTTTTTCTGAGTACTGTTATTAGTTACCGCATGTACTGATGTGTTTGCCATTTTCATCTTGGCTTTTTCCAGTCATAAGTATGCCGATTTTTTATTTGGTTATGTGAATCTTGCAATGCCTTTGGTGTTTATTTGACTAAGAAGTCTTTTCTTTCCTATTTGTGTTATCATTTTAAAACACTCTCTGTGCGTGTGTTGTAGCTTGCCAATACATATTTGCAAATGCTGTAACTAATTAGTGTCCTTTATGCTATCAGATGCTTCTTTCAGATATGTTTGGTCCTTGTCACTGTTTCCTTTCCCATAGCTGGAGAGTAAAGAAAAACCCTGCTTTATTTTGCTAGGAGTAATTGTATTCTATTATCCTCTGCTGATGAGGATTTTCTTTCTCTTCCTGCTTTCTTGATCATGCTCTCTTGTTTTTCCAATGAGCAATGATATGTTACTGCTTATAGTAATATCTTACTGTTCTCAACTACAGAATGTCATTGCTTGAAGCATGAGTTTTAAACTAGATGGTGTAACTTCCTTACTAACATACATTTTAATTTTTCTTACATACATCTGTATCTGTTGGCTTCCTTAAGTGTAATGTTTGCATATTATCCTGCAGGAACTTAATAATCTCGAACATTTGGGCAATGCTACACCTCATTTCAATACAAGCAACATATATGAAGATCTAGGAGACTTGGAAAACTTGGGTAGAGTTGGTGAAGTCGGATATAATTTCTGCAGTGAGCCTGATTCTAGGAGCCATTTTCTGGAGCTATATGATCTCGACCAACCTCAGCATCCTAATCTCTTCTTTTAGTTATGTAATTTTTATGGCAAGTTTACTTTGCATTGATGGTTACCGATTCCATATTTTATTTTGATTTCAACTATATTATCCAATCATGTACCCCTTTATGTTTCTTAGCTTGTATTACCTTTGCTGTCTTTGGGCTGTTTAATGAATTATTCACTATTGACCAAAGGAAAATTTATCGCTAGAAGTGTAAATTTAAGCCTGAGTATTTCCAGAAACACTACTTTTTTCTTTTTGGTTGCTAATTCTTAGTTAAAATCGGTAGAAAGTTATTTTGAATGAAATAAAAAGAGGGAAGGATTTAGACCACGTTTTCTTTTTCTTGTTTTCATCTTACCTCATACTCTCATAATCTCCATCTCTGTTGCGCATTTTCTTTTCCCTTCTTATCTCTCTCTACTTTCTCTCTTTGAAAAATCTAGTTTTATTATATACAACCATAGCAACTAGGGTTATGAAAAAAAAAGTTATTACTGATTTCCATAAAAAATAAATGACCGATTTGTCTCAACCACGTAAAAGGTCCCCAACCAATTCAAGAAATATTATTGCAAAGGGATTCAGTCAAATTGGTAAACATCATTTGAAGTTAAAGCACCATCAGTCCAGTCGGATTGAACTGAGGTGTGCCTGCCAACTATCTGAATAACAACTGTGTTTTAGGACCAAAATAAGAGCAAAAAAGAAAAAAGAAAAAAAAGAAACACCAGCAGCTAACCCCAAGTGGGAAAACAGAGAGCAAGACCAGTTTCAAAACAGCTAGAAGGTGAAAAATGAAAAAGAAGACAAAGTCATGCACTCAAATTTCTGGGGTGCAGGTGGAAGGACTTTAAAATTTTACAAATTATATATAAACTCAATCCTAGACATGTATTTATAAAAAATTCAAGCACTATTTAAACATAGAAACACACCCAAAATCAACCCCAAAGTCAACTTTTTGGGTGTGTTTATAAATGGGTTTTGAGTGTGTAATGATGGGTTTTGAGTGTGTTTATATGTTTAAATAGTGCTTGGGTTTTTTTATAATTTCAACCCCCATTTTGGGTGTTTTAGTGAAACTCCCTTAAAATTTTATATTAAGGCAAATTGTCACCATCAATGTGAATGGGAGAATGAGTTTCATAATTCACTCTCTTTGACTGAATGAATCCATTCCATATATAAAGTAGAAGCATTGAACATTTCCATTGGTTAAATACCACCTAAAGTAGAAGCAGCAATTAATTTGAAGTAAAATATTCAAACCCTAAACTACATGGATCTGGAAGGAAGAAAATTAATATAAAATTTTGGTCAATATATACCTTCTAGTTAAACTTAAAGGTGAGATTTAATCAAACACCTATATATCTATATATATATATATATATATATATATATATATTCAAATCCTTACCTGCTTCGACATGGAAAATCATATCCAGGAGTACAAGACCAGTTCATTCTCCCCAGTCTATAAATAGGCTTCTAACCCATAAAGGATTTTCATCCCACAACCAAATCTTTATTACCTAGCTAATTAAGCCAGCTGCAATGAAAGGTGTTTATTTCCTCATAAGCACTCTTGCCATATTGGCATCTGCAACCTTCCTTGTCTCTGCCTCTGACCCCAGTCCTCTTCAGGACTTCTGTGTAGCACTCAATGACACCAAATCTGCTGGTATGCATTAATATATACTTGTGTTAATTATTTATATTCTGCCCCGCAATTATTTCCACATGAATTATTTTGATTAGATATTAGGTTTATGAAGATCGTTTTTCTGTTAACTATAGCTTCTTCTCTTGCATGAAAAATCTATTAGTACGTACTTTTACATATGAATAATGCTATTTGTATTACATTTACTGTCCATCTTAGTGATCATCTCTCTGATATATATATTAAAGTAGTTTCCACTTACTACGTGGATTTTACCTCCGGATAGCTCTAACACTAAAGTTTAATATAACTTATTTTTTTGGGTTGTAGAAGCAGTGTTTGTGAATGGGAAGTTCTGCAAGGACCCAAAGCTTGCCAATGCAAATGATTTCTTCTTTTCTGGCCTCCAAAATCCAAGAAACACACAAAATCCGCTTGGTTCAAATGTGACAGCCGTGAATGTGGACAACCTACTAGGACTGAACACTCTCGGCATATCCTTGGCTCGCATAGACTTTGCACCAAATGGCCTAAACCCTCCTCACACTCACCCTCGTGCCACTGAAATCCTTGTGGTCTTGGAAGGAACACTCTATGTTGGTTTCGTCACATCCAACGGTGATGGCAATCGCCTATTCACCAAAGTGTTGAACAAGGGAGATGTGTTTGTGTTCCCAATTGGCCTCATTCACTTCCAACTCAATGTGGGACACGTCAACGCTGTAGCCTTCGCTGGGCTTAGCAGCCAGAACCCAGGAGTGATCACCATAGCCAAAGCAGTGTTTGGCTCCCAGCCTCCCATCAACTCTGATGTTCTAGCCAAGGCCTTCCAAGTGGACGACAAAGTGGTTGACAATCTTCAGAAACAGTTCTGGTACGACAACAATTAGTAAAATGCAACAATAATTATATGCGAAAAGAATAAAGGCCAAGGAAAGAACAACCAATCGATGTGCTTGGTTGGATGTATTAAGTTGGCCATATGTTTTTAACTACGTACCTACAATAAATTACTATGATGTAATATTAATTGAATAAGATTGTTGGTTTGCATTACTTACCCTCTGGTTTTGAAATAACATAATTTCATACTGTAGTTTTGAAATAACATTATGCAAAGATATTATGACAGCTTAATAATTCTAAAGTGGAGGAGCCTGCCATTTTAACATTGATAAGCTTATAATTCTAAAATGGGCAAATCAAGTAGAAATTTCTCTCTCTCGAGGACAGCTATTTGCGTGCAATTAGTGCGGACATTAAATTCAACCTTTGGATCGATTTTAAAAGGTTACATGTAGAATCTGGTAAAAGAAAACACAAATTCATCTTCTCTTTCCTCTTTCTCTGCCTTCTTCTATTTTCCTCTCCCTCTCCTATCCTCTCTCTCTGGGCATTCAAACTGAAAAATCGAGATGAATTGAGCAGAAAAAGAATCGGAATAACCAAAACCAGACTGAGTTAACCAAAAACTGAACTAGACCGGTTTGGTCCGATTTCAATTCCAGTATCTTGTAGTGAAGATAGGGACCCGGGCCGAACCAACAGATTGTGGTGGATTTCAAACAACGTTTCTTTTTCATTTTTTCATCTTCTCATAATCTCCGTATCTGTTTCACATTTTCTTCTCCCTTGGGAGCTCTTAATCTTAACAATATGGTTGTTATGACAAAATATGAAATAAAAAAATCTTGTTTTTTTATTTGAAAAAAGAAGAAGAAACTTTGGGATTGCTAAATAACAACGAAATATATATATAAGCAACGGAGCCATCATAGTATTTTTGAACCACTCCAAAAAGAAGGGTGGTTATTGGACTAACAGGGTCGCTACCCAGCTAATCTCATACTTTCTCACTTTGAAAATTCTATAATCTACAACCATAACAACTAGAGTTATTAATATATGTATATATATATATATATATATATATATTCGACTTACTGATTTCCATAAAAATTAAATGACACATTTGTCTGTTTGAAATATTACTGGAGGGACTGTTTAAAGCTACTCAGTCATGTTGGTAAACATCATTTGAAGTTAAGCAGCATCAGATTGAATTCAGGTGTGCCTGCCAATTATCTGAATAACATCTGTGCTTTAGGACCAAAATAAAACACAATATGAGAAAAACAAAAAAAAGAACACCACCAGCTAACCCAAACGGGAAAATAATCAGGAGCAGAGGCTGCTTTGAGCAAAGACCATTTTTTTTTCTTTCTATGAACTGGGGGGGTGTAAAACCCCAAGAAACACAGAGCAACTACTCACTACAGAGACCCGAGTCCTAGTGACTCCTAGCAAATCATCAACAAGGCTAGAGCCAATCCAACTCGGAGCCATATCAAGAAAACAAACACCTAGGTCCAGACTGTAGCTCCGCTGGGCAACACAATCAGCAACCACATTTCTTTCTCTATAAACATGCTGAGGAGCACAGGTATCAAACTTTCCATAAGCTCCCAGCAGCTTGAAACCAGAGACACCAACCAGAGCATGCATAGCCACTGCAGAATCCATTTCGCAAGACAACTTTCAACCAGCTAGAAGGTGAAAAAAAAAAAAGTCATGCACTCAACGTTAATTGGTGGAATTTTATATGAGGCAAATTGTCACCATCAATGTTAATATATAAGGAAATGAATTTCATTCTCTTTGTAGAATGAATCCATATATAGCATAAGCATTGAACATTTCCATTGGTTAAATACCACCTAATTTAAAATAAAAAAATTATCTCCTAACTACTCTTTTTTTGGTACAACTCCTAATACCTGGTCTTTCATCATCATAATATATGAATATATTCTCCCTCAACTGACCTTGTCTTATAATTAAACAACCCTAATAACCCTTTACAAAAGGTAACTTTTTTTATTGAAACACCAAACAGTAGTGCTGAGTCAAAGTTCTTCAAAAATCTATCACAACTGAATTTTCTTTTTCTAGTGCTAAAATATATATAGGAAATTTATTGTTCAATAGTTAAACTTAAAGGTGAGATTTTGTCAAATACCAAGTCTTGACTTGCCTCTAAATACTACAATATTCAAATCTTTACCTGCTTAGACAAGGAAAATCATATCCAAGAGTACAAGACCAGTTCATTCTCTCCAGTCTATAAATAGGCTTCTAAGCCATGAAGGATTTTCATCCCATATCCTCAAACCAAAACTCTCTACACACGAAGAAAAAACAGTAAAAGAAAGTTCTGAGGCAACCTAGCTCTAATTAAGCCAACTGCAATGAAAGGTGTTCATTTCCTCATAAGCACTCTTGCCATATTGGCATCTGCAACCTTCCTTGTCTCTGCCTCTGACCCCAGTCCTCTTCAGGACTTCTGTGTAGCACTCGATGACACCAAATGCTGGTATGCAGTAATTATATTCATTATATTCTGCCCTGCAATTATTTCCACATGAATTATTTTCTTCTTAAGGCATTAGGAATATTATGAAGACTGTTTTTCTGTTAACTATATGCATTTGCATGGCCTCTCATGCATGAACAATCTATTAGTACATAATTTTACAGATACATATATATATGTAGTGTCCCTTACACATGTATGTCCTATTTGTACTATATTTACTGACTATCTTATTGATCACCTCTCTAATATATCATGTGGGTTTCTGTTTCGCTTAGGTGGATATTTCGGTGCAGGCGCAGTGTTTGTAAATGGGAAATTCTGCAAGGACCCAAAGCTTGTCAATGCAAATGATTTCTTCTTTTCTGGCCTCCAAAATCCAAGAAACACACAAAATCCGCTTGGTTCAAATGTGACAACTGTGAATGTGGACCAAATAGCAGGGTTTGAACACTCTCGGCATATCCCTGACTCGCATAGACTTTGCACCAAATGGCCTAAACCCTCCTCACACTCACCCTCGTGCCTCCGAATTCTTGTGGTATTGGAAGGATCACTCTATGTTGGTTTCGTCACATCCAACGGTGATGGAAATCGCCTATTCACCAAAGTGTTGAACAAGGGAGATGTGTTTGTGTTTCCAATTGGCCTCATTCACTTCCAATTCAATGTGGACACGTCAACGCTGTAGCCTTCGCTGGGCTTAGCAGCCAGAACCCAGGAGTGATCACCATAGCCAATGCAGTGTTTGGCTCCAAGCCTTCATCAACCTGATGTTCTAGCCAAGGCCTTCCAAGTGGACAACATGTGGTTGACTATCTCAGAAACAGTTTTGGTACGACAACAATTAGTAGAAATACAACAATAATATATATGCGAAGAGCATAAAAGGCCAAGGAAAAGACCACCAATCGATGTGCTGGTTGTTGGATGTATTAGTTGGCCAATTTGTGTTTTCCCTACGTACTACAACAAATTACTATGATGTAATATTAATTGAGAAGATTGTGGTTTGCATTACTTACCTCTCTGGGTTTTGGAATATATATAATTTCGTTTTGAAATAACAGTATGCATAATTCAACAAAACTAGATGACAACTTAAAATACTAAATGGAGGAGGCCTTGCCATTTAACATTGATTTATGTGGCCCCTGCTCTAGGCAATCACGTAGATAATGAGATCTCTTTCTGCGACAGTAGTTGGTGCGAACACAAATCAAACCGTTGGAACGAGATGATGGTTGAGATTAAAAAGCATTTTTTTTTTTTTTTTTTTTTTTTTTTTTTTTTTTTTTTTTTTTTTTTTTTTTTTTTTTTTTTTTTTTTTTTTTTTTTTTTTTTTTTTTTTTTTTTTTTTTTTTTTTTTTTTTTTTTTTTTTTTTTTTTTTTTTTTTTTTTTTTTTTTTTTTTTTTTTTTTTTTTTTTTTTTTTTTTTTTTTTTTTTTTTTTTTTTTTTTTTTTTTTTTTTTTTTTTTTTTTTTTTTTTTTTTTTTTTTTTTTTTTTTTTTTTTTTTTTTTTTTTTTTTTTTTTTTTTTTTTTTTTTTTTTTTTTTTTTTTTTTTTTTTTTTTTTTTTTTTTTTTTTTTTTTTTTTTTTTTTTTTTTTTTTTTTTTTTTTTTTTTTTTTTTTTTTTTTTTTTTTTAAAATTTTGATTAGATATTAGGTTTATGAAGATCGTTTTTTCTGTTAACTATAGCTTCTTCTCATGCATGAAAAATCTATTAGTACGTAATTTTACATATGAATAATGCTATTTGTACTACATTTACTGGGCATCTTAGTGATCATCACTTTGATATATATTAAAGTGGTTTCCACTTACGTACGTGGATTTTACCTCCGAATAGCTCTAACACTAAAGTTTAATATAACTTTTTTTTTTGGCAGTAGAAGCAGTGTTTGTGAATGGGAAGTTCTGCAAGGACCCAAAGCTTGCCAATGCAAATGATTTCTTCTTTTCTGGCCTCCAAAATCCAAGAAACACACAAAATCCGCTTGGTTCAAATGTGACAGCCGTGAATGTGGACAACCTACTAGGACTGAACACTCTCGGCATATCCTTGGCTCGCATAGACTTTGCACCAAATGGCCTGAACCCTCCTCACACTCACCCTCGGGCCACTGAAATCCTTGTGGTCTTGGAAGGAACACTCTATGTTGGTTTTGTCACATCCAACGGTGATGGCAATCGCCTATTCACCAAAGTGTTGAACAAGGGAGATGTGTTTGTGTTCCCAATTGGCCTCATTCACTTCCAACTGAATGTGGGACACGTCAACGCAGTAGCCTTCGCTGGGCTTAGCAGCCAGAACCCAGGAGTGATCACCATAGCCAAAGCAGTGTTTGGCTCCCAGCCTCCCATCAACTCTGATGTTCTAGCCAAGGCCTTCCAAGTGGACGACAATGTGGTTGACAATCTTCAGAAACAGTTCTGGTACGACAACAATTAGTAAAATGCAACAATAATTATATGCGAAAAGAATAAAAGGCCAAGGAAAGAACAACCAATCGATGTGCTTGGTTGGATGTATTAAGTTGGCCAATATGTTTTTAACTACGTACCTACAATAAATTACTATGATGTAATATTAATTGAATAAGATTGTTGGTTTGCATTACTTACCCTCTGGGTTTTGAAATAACATAATTTCATACTGTAGTTTTGAAATAACATTATGCAAAGATATTATGACAGCTTGATAATACTAAAATGGAGGAGCCTTGCCATTTTAACATTGATAAATTTGGCCCATGCTCTAGGGCAAATCAAGTAGAAATTTCTCTCTCTCGAGGACAGTGTTAGAATTGAAGGGGAAACAAAGTGATTTTATTAGATTGGAGGAGGATAGTACATGGCTTCGTGTAGGCTAATTGGCCTTATACACATAGCATAGTGGGCTTATTGGCCACAACACTTGGTTTAGATTAATTTGGGCTATTTGGCCCTTCACTTGGTGAGCTTATTGGCTCCACAAAGATTGGGAGTTGATTGGCTCACTCCACTTTGTTTGGGAATGCTACAACTCCTTTTATAGGTGTAAGTAGCCGACATATGCCCGAGTCCAGCCACATGTTCAACCGACTTGAGCTCTTTACTCCAGCCACATGTTCAACCGACATAGTTGGTGAACTTCACAATTCATTGCTGCATGGTTGTTCTGGAACTTTCTTCAAACTTTTGTTGTGTTAGCCGACATCACCAAGTCCACTGGCTTTATCATATTTTTTTGTTCCATAATTTAGTTTGTAGTTTCTTGAGTTTTCTAGAATTGTGTAGTTATATCTACACAAATATGCATTACTTTTTTCAACTGACAGCTATTTGCGTGCAATTAGTGCAGACATTAAATTCAACGTTGGATCGATTTTAAAGGTTACATGTAGAATCTGGTGAAAGAAAACACAAATTCACATGACTGAGACCCATTGACCCACACAATCATCTTCTCTCTCCTCTTTTTCTGCCTTCTTCTATTTTCCTCTCATTCTCCTATCCTCCCTCTCTGGGCATTCAAACTGAAAAATCGAGCTGAATTGAGCAGAAAAAAATCGGAATAACCAAAACCAGACTGAGTTAACCAAAAACTGAACTAGACCGGTTTGGTTCGATTTCAATTCCAGTATCTTGTAGTGAAAAAAGGGACCGGGCGAACTGGACAGATTGTGGTGGATTTCAGACAATTTTCATTTTTTTTTTTCATCTTCTCATGATCTCCATATCTGTTTCACATTTTCTTCTCCCTTCTCATCTCTCTCTACTTTCTCACTTTGAAAATTCTATAATCTACAACCATAACAACTAGGGTTATTAAATATATATTATATATATATATATATATTCGACTTACTGATTTCCATAAAATTAAATGACACATTTGTCTGTTTAAAAGCTACTCAGTCATGTTGTTAAACGTCATTTGAAGTTAAGCAGCATCAGATTGAATTCAGGTGTGCCTGCCAATTATCTGAATAACATCTGTGTTTTAGGACCAAAAAGAAAACACAATATGGAAAAAAAACAAAAAAACAAAACAAAAGCACCACCAGCTAACCCAAACGGGAAAATAATCAGGAGCAGCGGCTGCTTTGAGCAAGACCAGTTCTTTTTTTTCTATGAACTGGGGGGTGTAAAACCCCAAGAAACACAGAGCAACTACTCACTACAGAGACCGAGTCCTAGTGACTCCTAGCAAATCATCAACAAGGCTAGAGCCATCCAACTCGGAGCCATATCAAGAAACAAACACCTAGGTCCAGACTGTAGCTCCGCTGAGCAATACAATCAGCAACCACATTTCTTTCTCTATAAACATGCTGAAGAGCACAGGTATCAAACTTTCACATAAGCTCCCAGCAGCTTGAAACCAGAGACACCATAGCCACTGCAGAATCCATTTTAGCAAGACAACTTTCAACCAGCTAGAAGGTGAAAAAATGAAAAAGAAGAAAAAGTCATGCACTCAACGTTAATTGGTGGACTGACTGTAAAATTTTATATCGAGGCAAATTGTCACCATCAATGTTAATATATAAGGAAATGAATTTCATTCTCTTTGTAGAATGAATCCATATATAGCATAAGCATTGAACATTTCCATTGGTTAAATACCACCTAATTAAAAAATAATAATAATTATCTCCTAACTACTTTTTTCTTTGGGTACTACTCCTAATACCTGGTCTTTCATCAGCATAATTATATGAATATATTCTCCCTCAACTGACCTTGTCTTATAATTAAACAACCCTAATAACCCTTTACAAAAGGTAACTTATTTTATTGAAACACCAAACAGTAGAGCTGAGTCAAAGTTCTTCAAAATTCTATCACAACTGAATTTTCTTTTTCTAGTGCTAAAATATATATAGGAAATTTATTGTTCAATAGTTAAACTTAAAGGTGAGATTTTGTCAAATACCAAGTCTTGACTTGCCTCTAAATACTACAATATTCAAATCTTTACCTGCTTAGACAAGGAAAATCATATCCAAGAGTACAAGACCAGTTCATTCTCTCCAGTCTATAAATAGGCTTCTAAGCCATGAAGGATTTTCATCCCATATCCTCAAACCAAAACTCTCTACACACGAAGAAAAAACAGTAAAGAAAGTTCTGAGGCAACCTAGCTCTAATTAAGCCAACTGCAATGAAAGGTGTTCATTTCCTCATAAGCACTCTTGCCATATTGGCATCTGCAACCTTCCTTGTCTCTGCCTCTGACCCCAGTCCTCTTCAGGACTTCTGTGTAGCACTCGATGACACCAAATCTGCTGGTATGCAGTAATTATATTCATTATATTCTGCCCTGCAATTATTTCCACATGAATTATTTTCTTCTTAAGGCATTAGGAATATTATGAAGACTGTTTTTCTGTTAACTATATGCATTTGCATGGCCTCTCATGCATGAACAATCTATTAGTACATAATTTTACAGATACATATATATATGTATTGTCCCTTACACATGTATGTCCTATTTGTACTATATTTACTGACTATCTTATTGATCACCTCTCTAATATATCATGTGGGTTCTGTTTCGCTTAGGTGGATATTTCGGTGCAGGCGCAGTGTTTGTAAATGGGAAATTCTGCAAGGACCCAAAGCTTGTCAATGCAAATGATTTCTTCTTTTCTGGCCTCCAAAATCCAAGAAACACACAAAATCCGCTTGGTTCAAATGTGACAACTGTGAATGTGGACCAAATAGCAGGGTTGAACACTCTCGGCATATCCCTGACTCGCATAGACTTTGCACCAAATGGCCTAAACCCTCCTCACACTCACCCTCGTGCCTCCGAATTTCTTGTGGTATTGGAAGGATCACTCTATGTTGGTTTCGTCACATCCAACGGTGATGGAAATCGCCTATTCACCAAAGTGTTGAACAAGGGAGATGTGTTTGTGTTCCCAATTGGCCTCATTCACTTCCAATTCAATGTGGGACACGTCAACGCTGTAGCCTTCGCTGGGCTTAGCAGCCAGAACCCAGGAGTGATCACCATAGCCAATGCAGTGTTTGGCTCCAAGCCTCTCATCAACCCTGATGTTCTAGCCAAGGCCTTCCAAGTGGACAACAATGTGGTTGACTATCTTCAGAAACAGTTCTGGTACGACAACAATTAGTAAAATACAACAATAATTATATGCGAAGAGCATAAAAGGCCAAGGAAAGAACAACCAATCGATGTGCTTGGTTGGATGTATTAAGTTGGCCAATTTGTTTTTTCCCTACGTACCTACAACAAATTACTATGATGTAATATTAATTGAATAAGATTGTTGGTTTGCATTACTTACCCTCTGGGTTTTGAAATAATATAATTTCGTTTTGAAATAACATTATGCATTAATTCAACAAACATATTATGACAACTTAATAATACTAAATGGAGGAGCCTTGCCATTTTAACATTGATTAGTTTGGCCCATGCTCTAGGGCAAATCACGTAGAAATTTATCTCTCTTGAGGACAGCTAGTTGTGTGCGAACATCAAATTCAACCGTTGGATCGATATTGATGGTTGAGATTAAAACATGGGTTTTAAAAGTTTACATGTAGAATATGGTAAAAGAAAACATAAATCCAAGCGGGATGGTAAAGGGCGGGTTAGGAGTCAGGGATGGCAATACCATCTCCGTCCTTACTCTTCATTCTCGCCCATGTCCTTGTCCCCATCCCCGATATGAAATTTCGGGGAATCCCCATTCCCGTCCCCGTCGGGGAATGGTATCCCAAACCCATCTTGATTTTTTTTTTTTTTTTTTTTTTTTTTTTTTTTTTTTTTATTTTTTATATAAATGATTAAATTCACTTAAATTTAACACTTAAAAAGTAATTAAGTTTAACTCAATTACAATTCAATTGAACTATTACAATTTCACTCAACTACTCAAAATCAAATCTCAATTTAATTTGACAAAACTAATAAAATCATATAATAAAAAACATATGTCAAAAGTTTCACCATCTTACAAAGTTTAGGGTAAGTTTTTAATTGTTATATTATATATTTAGTAATTAAAAACGTGATCAAAGTGCTTTTATACATAAATATTTTCTGGATGAGTTTTAAATTTAGTTCACGTAATTAAATCTTCCTTTTGGAAATGGATAAACTATTTATGCGTAGACTAGCTGACATGAATGAAAGTTTATGTCAGCATAGTTAGCATCCTACGTGTCACAGTGGACCCCACATGCTTTTAAAATCCAATTCAAAGTAGATCAGTTTGTAGATTTGGCCAAAAAAAGAAGCTTCTTAGTCGAAATAATTTGGAGATTAGGGTTCAGAGTGTATAATCAGAGAGAGAGAGAGAGAGATAGAGATTCAAAAATCTAAGAATGAGCGAATATTGCAAAGAATCAAAGCAAAAGAATTGAAATCTTGGGAGAAGCGCGAATATTGGAGAGAATGAAAAGGACAATAGAGGTGCCGAGAGAGAAAGGAGGTTCTCAACCTGAGTTCTGTAAGTGGCCCTTCTCTTTTGAAATGGAATGAATGAAAGCGAGAGATTTACAAAATGTGGTCCAAGTTTAAGCTTCTTTATTGTCTAGGTTCAAAGGTGTTGAGTTTGAAAAGCCTGGAATAAAAAATTGTTGTGGTCCCCTATGTCTTGATGTTATGTTTTCATGTTTACTAGTTGTTTAAAGGTTCTTTTAGTGCTTTAAAATTGTTAGTTGCGTGTTAGCATCCTACGTGGCACAGTGGACCCCACATGCTGCTTTTAAAATTCAAATGAAAGTAGATCAGTTTGTAGATTTGGCCAAAAAAAGAAGCTTCTCAGTCAAAATAATTTTGGGGTTAGGGTTTAGAGTGTATAATCAGAGAGAGAGAGAGAGAGAGAGAGAGAGAGAGAGAGAGAGAGAGAGAGAATCTGAGAATGAGCGAATATTGCAAAAGAATTGAAATCTTGGGAGAAGTGCAAATATTGGAGAGATTGAAAAAGACAATAGCGATGCCGAGAGAGAAAGGAGGTTCTCAACCTGAGTTCTGTAAGTGGCCCTTCTCTTTTGAAACGGAATCAATGAAAGCGAGAGATTTACAAAATGTGGTCCAAGTTTAAGCTTCTTTATTGTCTGCTTGCTTTGTCTGGTTAGGTTCAAAGGTGTTGAGTTTGAAAAGCCTGAAATAAAAAATTGTTGTGGTCCCTTATGTCTTGTTGTTATGTTTTCATGTTTACTAGTTGTTTAAAGGTTCTTTTAGTGGTTTAAAATTGTTAGTTGCATGTGAATCTTGCTCCATGTCTGTTTACTGGTTTGGTGATTGTGTTGTCCTTTTTAAACTGTACATATGACTATGCAGTGGTTAAAATGTGTTTCTTTATGTTCTGTTGTGCAGATGACAAAGGAATAGTCACTTTTGAAGTACACCATGGAGGTAGAATGGTAAAGTCCCCAAACCTCAATGAGTGGTGGTTTTATATTTGGAGGGGGGGAGGGGTTGTTGATTATTTGGATTGGTGTCTTCTAGACTACATAAATTTGTGAGAGATATATACTTATGCAAAAGAGCTTGGCTACCATGACCAAGTGGTTGTGACAGGGATACAAAATGGTAAAAAAGTGTGCATATATAGTGATGCTCAGCTACTTGAATGGTGTCATTTGGTGCCTTCTAGCTTTGAAAGAGTGATTGTACTTTACTTGGAGCACCCCCTACTGTTATTAATGTGGATGAAACTGCAGTGGCTTAGAGGGAGAGGGGTCCTATTGCAGGAAACCTAACTGCTAAATTTGAACATGAAGATGAGAGTAATGAACAGTCTGATTATGAGGGTATGTATGAGGATGATGAAGTTGACGAAGAGGCTACAAATATGGAGGAAGAGGGTGATGACATTACTATTGATGAGGCTATAAATGAGGAGGTTGAGGGTAATGAAGAGGCTGAGAATGAGAAAAGTGTTGAAAATGTGAATGAAGACAATGAAGAACATGAGAAAGACCCTGAATTTTATGACAGTGTATGAGCAAAGTGAAGATTAACAATGCTTGTTGGAGAATGATGATAAAGCATTTGACAACTGTGTTGACCACAATGCTCCAAATTTTGATCCAACTGCAGATGAATGAGAGAAGTCAAATGATATGGCTGTAAGTGATGTTAATAGGTTGGATAGTTGCTCATGTGATGAGGTTGATATGCCTATGAGAAAGAGGAAGAGGAAACTGCCCGAGTTTGATGATTTTAGGTCTAACACAGATTTGACTAACCTAATTTTTAAGATCGGTATAAGATTTCCCAATGTCTATGTATTTAGGAAAGCAGTGAGAAACTATTCAGTATTTAACAGAAGGAAGATGATCATTTGTATGGTTCATCCAATAGCAAGCCAAGACTTGTGGGCTAAAACAAATTTCCCACCTTTGTTGCCACCTAAGTATCACAAGCAGCCAAGGAGGCCAAAGAAAAGAAAGGTAAGGTTAGCTGCTGAACCACCTCCAAGCTCTAATCCTAAAGCTAAACACTTGCGAAGGTATAATTTGGAAACCAAGTGTTCCATATATAATCAAGCATGCCATAATAAGAGGAAATGTGCAAGGACAAATGATGCAGGGAGTAGCAGCTAGGTATAATCAAAGCATCTAATTTTAAAAGTTTTGTATGTTTAGCATTCTGATATGGATTCATATGTGATGTTTGTTGGTCAGGTACCATTAAAAAGGCAAAATAAGAGAGCACCTCAAGGCAACACATCAACTCAGAGAGTTATGAGACAATCAAGGCAGAAACAAGCATCATCTTCTACACAGTCAAGGCAAAAACAACCAGTAAGTTGAGTTTATTTTATTTAAGTAGCATTATGGAACTCTTCATTTGTTTATTTTAGTAAATGCTCATGTTAATCTAACTCTGCCACAATTTTCAGATTATATCAAAGGCTAAAAAAAGGACTAATCATCACCATGCATCTTCTCAGTCTAACCAAGCTCCTCAACCATCTCACCAAGCAGCTCAACAATCTCAACCTTCTCAAGCTTCTCAGTTTGACAACCATCTCAGTTTTAACAACCATCTTAGTCTCAAAAACCAAATTGGTCTCAGCCTCAAGCATCTTAGCGTCCATAAGCTTCTGAACAAATGAAAGTTTGGTTTGAAGTCTCCAGCTAAAAGGAAAGCATTCTTGGCCAAGTTTCAGCCATGGAGATATTGAAAAAGCTCTACTCAGTTTTGGTTATCACATGTGTTTAGGGTTAGAGAAAGCATCTGAATGTGTTTTTATGGGTTGAATATTGGTTTTATGTTTTGTTGTGTCTTGGTGAACACATGTGTTATTAGGTAGAAACTGTTTGTTTGGTATTTTGTTGTCTATTTTGTTCTTGGGTACAAATTGTTTGGCATTGCCATGGATATCACACATGCATATGCAGTCTTTTGTATTTTGTTTTGGCATTGCCATGGATTGAACATGTACAATTTATGTACAAGACTATGTATAAGTTATTAATCAATGGTAATTCAAAAGCTCAGAAAGGTTTCAAGAATTTTTGGTGCATACACAAGTGTTTAGTTATCACATCCCGAGATCGGCTCCGCCGTAGCACGATATTGTCCGCTTTGGGCCCCTCCTCTTTGCCCTCACGGTTTTGTTTCTAGGAACTTACGAGCAACTTCCCAGTGGGTCACCCATCCTAAGATTGCTCTAGCCCAAATTCGCTTAACTTCGGAGTTCCCATGACTCTGAAGCCAGTGAGCTCCCAAAAGGCCTCGTGCTAGATGGAGGCGGGCATGTACATATAAGGCACATCACTCCCTCTCCGTTGGTTGATGTGGGATGTTACATTAGTCCTAACCATTACAAAAAGGCTTTGAAACCATTACATTTGCAAAATACTACAACAATTACATAAGCCTCTCATCTCACTAAATTGTCATTCTAGTAGGTACATTACACCACATTACCTAACTTTCAAACATACCACATTGCCTAACTTACATTACATAACATTCCCAAACCAAACCATAAACACAAAGGCCCAATAAATAAATAGAGCAATCCACAACTTCTTCTCTCTTGCTCTCTCATGCCCAATCTAATCTTCTACTTCTCTCATTGTCCTCAGTAGCCAAGCCATTAGAGCTCTCTCACAGGGAGGCATTTCAATATCAACCCATACAAAAAACCTAAAATTGTTTCCCCCCCTCTGCATTCAAACAAAAGTTCCATCACATTCTCACAATTTATTGTCAAAATTTAGATAAAATAGCAAATCCAAAACCTACCTCTAACTTTGGACACACAAAGAACCTCCAAAGTGGGTCGGATTTTATCCGAGAAGTCTACAGCCGAGCAAGCCTCTCATAGTAGCAATGAGGTGCAGCAATGGCCAGCTCTTCTCCTCGTGGAGGTTCTATCCTCATCTTCCACACCCTTTAATTGAACAAATATGGAGAAATTTTTCTACGGGTATAGAACCTTAAATCCTTGAAATGGTGGTAAGTAATTTTTCTAGGTTTAGAAACCCTTTTATTGAAGAAAAAGAAAGCGAATTGTTAATTGGGATTCACTTGACCCCTTGAGTTGCTTCCATTTGGATTTTAAAAGCCTATGGGGTCCATTGTGCCACGTAGGATGCTGACTATGCTAAACAATCGGCCACCGTGGGTACTTACTGTAATGACCCTACCATGTCATCATGTTTTTATGGTCTTTTGAATGGGGTTATGACAGGACCCGACCCAAATTCAACTTTGGAATCTGTGTCGAACCCTGTGCGTGTCCAACACCTAACAGGTATCGGCACAATTGTCCAAAATACCATTTCTTACCCTAATCCAAAACTGCTTTAGGGTTTGACTTCTATCCGAAAACCGGCAAAGTCTCCCTTGAAAAATGGACATTTACCAAATTATTTCCACCTATATAAATAACAATTTAATATTTCCCAACTTTAGCAGGCACAATGCTAACACGCACTATTACCATATGGCCTCCAGCCTCAAATTCAACCTTATTAGGGCAATATCAGTGTAACTCTACGAATTTGTTTCTTACTTTGCAACTAACCACAAATTCCAAAGCATAACTCAATCGTTTATTTTGCGACTGCACCTAGTAACTCTACGTACCCTTATTAAGGAATCAAGCCATACGTAGATCTTTCTACATAAATTGTAAGTAAACAAAGGTAACTTAATCAAACAAATTGAGAAACCTTCATAAATAATTCAGATCAATCCACTAAAACTCAATCAAGAACTTTTGAGGTTAGAACAATCTTCTACTCATCCCACATGTGCATATATATATATATATGTATATAATTAACTTATTACTTATAAGTAGGAAAACGAGAAAATTATTAGATAGCATTGACCACGTGAAAAACCTTAATGTCAATATCAACAATTTAAATAAATATGTTTCCCTCTTTCACATGTAAAGACAAATTCATCACTTAATAAAATAATTGTGAATTATATAAAATCTTTAAAATTTAGAAAACTCTCGATACTTGTCTCATAAGTTGGAAAACATATATTTAAAACCTTCACCAATAAGTACTAAAATAAAATCATCAATTTTAGTTTTAAACATCTCAAAACTCGAACCTAGGCGTACCCCCATTCATGATTCGTCATTTCCAATAATATTTCGTAAATTTCAATAATATTCCGTCAATTCCAAGTGTCACATAAGCGACACATCCTCGCGGGCCTTGGAAACACAAAGTCAACCCGAGCCACATTCCTCACAGAACTCGAGGGACACGTAGTCAGCCTAAGAACACACATCCTCGCATAACTCGGGGGACATGTAGTCAGCCCGAGAATGCACATCCTCGCATCACACGGTTCAGGCATCCCTGAAACTCGCGGGGCATTGTCATAATTGACAAAACTATTTCCAAGGCAGCGGGTGGGGGGGGGGGGGGGGTGGGGGTACTGTGGTGTGCCTGTCCTGGTGTGATTGAAACATATTCCGAAAACTTATCCATAAGCTTTCCCTTATTCCACTAATCCATTTTTCCAAAATTTTGATGAACTTTCCAAAAATCAGTTCTCAACTACAGTTAAATAATCCAATATCACTCAATCCTATACTTTAATAATAATAATAATAATAGTAATAAATAATGTAAAATATTAACCTTAGTGATCCCATATCCTTATTAACCCAATTTTGATAAATCTTTAATCAAAACTCACTTATGCAAGAAATTCCATATTAAAAGAGCGAAGTACACTTAAAAACACACGTCTACTCATTCCCTGATAAATATAGCTGAGACCCATGGCTCACCTTCACAACCCACCAATCAAGTAATCCATAAGATACTATAAAACAATCTCATAATTCCAACATAATCAAAATAACTCAAATAACAGTCCAGACTTGTTTATAAGGTCATTCTAGTACTTCTCGAAGGGTGGAACTACCTCGGAAGAGTTATGGTCAACCAAGGGGTCAAACTGCCCAAACTTGGTCAACCGGGTCTGCGGGACCCACGACCTTCGATTCCCAATCCGAGAGTTCCTGTAGGTTTAACAAGGTTTACTATACATGTACTTCAAGTTTGGATCAAAACGAACGGTCGGATCGGTCGCGATCGCACGATCAGACGGTTATCTTTTAACGCAAACTTTAAGTCATTGAATTAGAACCCGATTCATAATCCGCGCTACACGGTATGCCTAGATCAACATATAAGAAATTGGGGTCGATCCAATGGTCCGAACATATCGAACCCTGATAACCCCTAATATGCCATATCTGATCAACGGTCAAACAATAACCAATTTCAAATCTAAGAATACTATCGTGCTCGAGATGAGAAGATGATCATTTTAGGACTCAAAGACCTGCCACAAAGTGGCCCACGTGCCGCCACAAGCGCTAGCAGCGCGTGGATGCCCAAAGCGATTTCGGCGATTAGAAAATCTCCAAACTGCCAATGAAGACCTATACCACATGATCAGGACATTGAGTGGAGCAACTTTTGTTCTTGGGCCATGGCCAAAAAGTGGCAAAAAATGTCCTGAGTCGCAAACTGAAACCGGCTGAAACTTTAAGTGATAATTTTGAGTTTCAAAATGCAAAAATTGATCCTAAACAACCCAACCAACAGCTAGAACACATTGAGAGGATGAAAAAGCATACCTAGATCAAAGAAATTGGTGGCTGAAATCACCGGAATGAGCGACGTAAACTTTAAGTAAAAATTGACCAGATTTTTGCTTTTTTCGGCGACCAGAGGTGACGGTTCCGTCGGAGGTGGGGTGGGGTGGGGTCGGAAGAGGAGGTTGAGGTGGTCGTTTTGTTACCAGTCTCACGAGATTTGGTGGTCTTTTTGGCACCGGTCTTATGAGATTTGGTGGTCGAATGAAGCAGTTGCAAGCAAAAATCCGAGCGGTTGTACTGTTGGGGGACGGGGCTGTTTCGCATGCACGGGGGAGAGAGAGAGAGAGAGAGAGAGAGAGAGAGAGAGAGAGAAGAAATTCTGGGTTTTTACAAAAATGACTTCGCAATATTTACGATTATGCCACTAGGCTTATGTAGCTCATGACTTCTTTGTTACAACTTCGATTTGAGCCCACTACATGTCTACGAACTCGTATCGCCACGCTCTACACAACGGTACCAAACAAATCCCCAAATTCTTTCCCAAATAAAAAGTAAAATTTAAACCTATTAAAATATTCTCAAGGTAAAATTGTCTTTTACTTTAATATTTTATTAATTAAGTATTAATTTAGGATTAGTTTATTACAATCTACCCCTTTATAAAAATTTCATCCTCGAAATTACATACTGTCTTGGTATGTTCTGAATTGCACTCCGACCCCTTAACCTTCGTAAAATTATTTCTCTTTCAATGCCTACAAGTCCAGTTTTACTTTCTCCAATCCTTGACATAAAATTTTTAGGCCTCAAGTTATAATTCCTCATGAACCGTTTATTTGCAACGTGTATACTACATTGTCATATGAAACCTCAACAAATTTTTCAAATACTTTTTGATGTCTTAAACTCAGCCATGCCAAGAAGGTAAGACAACGTTATGAAACATCATGCACTTCACTAAAATAAGGATGGGGCGGGAGAGAGAGAGAGAGAGAGAGGATTCATATATGGGTTCTTGT